ATACTCTGCAGGTGATTGGATGAAGCATCTTTCAGTTTCTATATTGGGCAAACTTCAACCAATCAGATCAACAAACTGTATGAAGTATGAGTCAAACTCTGACTGAAGTCAGTCGGGAGAAGAGAGAACACATCTTTTCCTCCAAGAAAATTGTTCTTTGCTCTTCTTTTGAGGAAGAAATACTCTCCAGTTTTGATGTAACTGATGCTAGCAGCATCTATGCTAACCTCTTTAGCGGCCGCCATTGTCACAGTCACTTCTAAGACCTTTAGTGTTAAATCGAAGCTCATACTGTAGCTGACAGGAGTTCCTTAAAGGACGCTGATTGGTCCGAACCACTGTGGTTGGACACAAGCTCACAGGTTAAAGCCCAGTGAGATGGATTCTCGCATTATTTCATGATCTTGCGAGTCCAGCTGCCTAGAAAGGTTAAATGTTATATGTTGAATCCTCCTGACTTTGACTTTTCCTGAAGCACCAACAACCAGTTTCACTGAACCTGTGAAAGATCTCAACATCTACTGGACAGATTGACACCAAATTTGGTTTGGACATGGTTCTCAGAAGATGTAGCCTCAAGACTTTGGTGATCCTCTTAACCTTTCTTCTAGCTCAGGATAAAGTTGGTGATCCTCTGACTTTTCATCCAGCATCCATCATCAGTTCCTACATGTAAAACTAAAGACATTACCATCAGCCTGATGGATGGATGGATGGATGGAAATGGATGCTTAGTGTTAACAAAGATTGTTGTTATTGGAAGATATTTGGTGAAGTTGAGGTCAAACAGCTGATCAGTTATTTATGTATTTGTTTTTGTTGATGTGTTGACGTGGCAGGAAGGATAGTGTTGAGCTAGTTACTCTACTACGACTACAAAGATTTCATTTTTACTCATTACTCTTCTCAAAAGTAGTATCACTTTACATCAGAAATTAGTTACACTTCCAGTTATATTACTTTTCTCCCCAAATACAAACGTAATGACGAAATTAGTTTTCTCTACGATTACAAAATTTAATCAAAGGATGTGATTGAATTTGTTGGATTTCTGAAATTGTAACTAATTATTTGTTTTGGGTGGGGGGGGGTAACTGTAATATTAGTGAAATGCATTAGTAATTGGTTACACTACTAGTTACTGTAATACTATTACTAGTAATGAGTTACTTGTTAACACTGTTAATGGTTTTGCATATAATAATTTCGCTCTCTCACATTGAAACATACATTTCTTCCTGGTTCACTTTTCTCACAAATGTTGACACTTTGAATTTAAACAGTTTGACTCTAATCTACTGAACAGGATGTTTATTTCAGCCTGCTCGAGGTGATTTCAGGTTGTTTTAATGTAGTATGTGTACTTACAGACTAATATACTTGAACACAAAATCAATCAGACTGATCATCTGTTCACAACTTTGTCTATTGATATCAGTTAAACATTTATAATAAGTCTGTGTACTGTTATACCAACAGCTCAGGTCCTCCATACAGCCGCCAGTACAGCGACTTTAAATGCTGTTAAACATTTAAACATTTGCAGAAATCAGATGACTCCTTTGGGGAAGAATCAATGATTGTAATTTTTAATTTTCCGTCCCTGTGCGTCTCTCAACTCTTTTTGTAAAAGTATTAAACACAGCTGGACGAGTCCCTTTAGAGGAGGGGGGAGGGGGGGTTGTGAAACAGACCATCGGACCTCAAAATACATCTCCTCCTCTTACTTTTTCATTAAAATTATTTTTTCCATTCTCCCAAGAATGATTTGGAATTTAAAGTCCTCTATAATTGGGCCTATATTTCTCCCGGCCTGCCGAGGCTGTGCTTATCAGCGAGGGGTAAGAATTAAGACCACATAGGGAACCAAATAACATTTTTTAAAAGCTGGGAGACTTAAGTAGAAAATTGGCTTAGCATGCAGATAGCAAAGTCAACAATGGGAACATATATCCCAGCTCGGAGTGATTGAAGTCGCTGTCTTTCTGAATAACAAAGTGTTTGATTTTCACCACGGCTCTTACATAAACTGCTAACTTGATTTCACACTCTGGATCTGAGGGTGACAACAAACACTTTAATTAGAGGAAGATGATGCAGGGGAAAGGGGGAGAGAGAGGGGGAGGAAAAGGTGATAGACGGTAACAAATCCCCAACACACTCCAGACAGCCTAAATATACTGCCAGCAAAGCGAAATATAATAATTTTTTCCTCCTACTTTTCATATCTTATTATTTTTCTCTTCATTCTCCAGCTTGGAATATTTTTGCATAGCTTAAAAGCGCGGGTGCTATCTCGCCAAAACCTACGTGGTTCATTTGCATCGTCGAGGGTTCGGACGGGGAGGTTACGGGGGGGTTTGTGTGTGTGCCATAATTAGGCCTTTGTGGTTGAGATCTGGACCGGACAGCGTACCTGCCGTCCTGGCTTGTAGCCGCTGTTAGTGGCACCTTGTAGCCCTTTGAACTGAGCCCCTCCGCACTGTGAGATTAGCTCCTTTCAGAGCGCCTCCGTCCTCTAAGAAGTTGTTTTAACGCCGATAGAAGAGAAGAAAGAGAAAGGGAACGAACAAAAAGCACAAACTCGTTACACTTGACGTTATTAAGCAGCCGGACTGATCACCAGAGCTGATAAACGGCGTCCAATAAACGCGCCAATCACGGCCTCCACCGTTCTCTACAACCCCAGAACCAAACGCCACCTCTGCGCTCTGTTCGGGCTTTATTGGTCAGCAAATAATCAAAGCACTTTTTTTTTTCTCTCCTCTGGAGGGGATTAGAAAGGCGAAGCTTAGCCCGCTGGACCAGACACTAGCGGGGAGGCCAGGGGGTCTCTCTTATCAGGGCTCGGCTGCTGGATGCAGCCCCGCTATACAGGACAGATTGCTTTCACTGTCGCCCGTCTGCGGGGAAGAACAAAGACGCTCCGCCGCCGCCGCCATAATGCCCCGGCTCTGGTGGGACACAGAGGGCTCCGAAATACGCCTTTATGTATTCATTAGGATGAGCAGTGAGATCATACATGCCTCCGCCTCCCTCCTTTCTTCTCCTCTCCTTTTCATCCATCCATCTGGCCTCCATTAAACGGGGTTAATTTCTTGCTCGTAACCTGTTTTCTCTGATTGTGCGAGCGTCAGCGGAGACCATTTGTGTGTGTTATTGTATGCTGATATAGACGATTTGCTGCTCACACACACGTCTGCAGTGTGTGATGACTAAAAGTTGGATACTTCCAAGTAAATTTAGTGGATAATACTTGGACTGAAGTAAGGTTTTAACTCCTTTTACGTGTAGTTGAGTATTTTAACACAAAAGTGTGATTATTAGTTCTGTAACACTGAAAAACTGCATTTCATGGGTAGAAAATGTCTGAACATTCCCTTTACAGTTTTAATCAACCTGGACTTTGTAACCCCAAAATGCCACCTTACTTTATGACGTCATGTCCGAGTCTTCAGAGTGTGTTGCCTGCCCAATGTTGTTTACTTGGGTATTTTTTCCTTATAAAGGTCAAAAAACGTTATTTCTCCACTTAAAATCTCCCCTGACTGATTCTGGCCTGATGCCCCGCTGTTGATGTAGTATGATATTCGATTCGGAGTCTGTTCAGTGTGCAGTATTTTATTTTCTGTGCCGTTTCTGTGTCTGACTTCCTGCCAGTGTGATCACCTCTGGTGGGATCTGAGGGCCAATACTGACATGAAGTGGACTGTTTGGGATATATAGCTATAAGAACAGGACGCAGCACATCTTCTCCAGCCTCCACTTTGAGTCTGTGAAATCGCTGCACTCATTTTCTCATTTCTGATAGAGATCATTCGCAGGAGTTTATGCTGGTTGTTGCTAACCCTCTACTGAATATGTTTCCATCATGTGATGCACATTGGCCGGAGCTTTTTCTGTAGGTTTGGATAGTTTTTTTGGCTTCATGCTCCACTGAACAGTTTTCATAAGAATGGACGGAGCGCTGCCTCCGACGCCACATCCAGTTGTCTTTATACATCTATGCTTTAAAAACGGTGTGAGAAGGGAACGGAAAAAACCAAAACGGGAGGGAAGGAAGGGAGGTTGGATGTTGACAACGAAACAGGGCGGACTGTTATTAGTGTCGGACTTACTGCCTCCTGATGTGTGGATGAGGAGAATTGTTGAGAAGTGACTGAAACATTGTTCACTAGCAGACTCTGGGACATCAGGTTGTTACTCAGAACGATCTGAAGTTACTTTTATGCTGTCAGTCGTTTCTCTTCCCCTCATATTCAGATATTACACAGCATCAAGTCTCCATCAGCTCACAACAAAACCCACTCTGCAGACGTTAACTAAAAGATGTAATGCTACAGCACAGCTAGCTTCATAATAGATGTTAGATGGTACTAACGAAAACGGGCAACAACTTTCTGATTTGGATTAATTTTGAGCAGATTATTTCCTGTTTATGGGACTTTTTATACAATTCTGTGTTTGTATGACGTATTTCTTATACTTTTTTAACAATACTTCAACAATTCAACTAGACTAATTCAACAGTAATCATAGTTTGCTACCGAAAACGGGCAACAACTCTGTATCCATTGTCGCTTGTTTCCGTCGTGTTGTCATGAATGTGCTTCTAGTGACCATAAAACCTCCAGCTGACTTGCTGTCGTCAGTCTGTCAATCACTGCGGTCAGTGACGAGGCCACGCCCCCTAAAGTCACTGTTAAAATTAGCTGAGAGGGAGCACACACAGAGTGGCTCTTAGAAACACTAAAACTGTCACAGTTGCATGACAAACACAAATTTAAAAGCCAGATTCACTGATGTAGCTGAACACATCTTAATCCAAGGTGCAGCTTTCTCCCATTGCACGCCATTGTGTAACACAGTTTGTACAGAGAGAGCTGACAGGAAATCTCTGTAAACAGAAGGACTATAAATGCTCTCGCTGGCGGCCATGTTGTTGCTCTCCTGACATCTAACCCCAATTTGCGTCACACTAATTCCAAGTTTTAAATTACACCTCCTTTCTCTGTCTCTCTCTCCATCTCTCCTTCTCTTATTATCTCTGATTTCTCCTCGTCAGTCCTTTACTCCTCACTCTTTCATTCTCTCTCTCACTCTGTGTGTTGTAGTTCCCTCGGGGCTTTGGCTCGTTTCTTGCGGAGAAGAAAGGCGAAATAAAGGCGACATAAAGGAGCAAGGAGCCCAAGGAGGCGACGTGGCGTTTGGCGGACAGAGCGGCGCCAGGCCTCGCCACCGACACACACCGTCGCGATCCAGCAGACATCCTCAGATTCCCAGAGAGCAGACTGAGACGTGTGACGTTTCAGGGGAAAGCAACCGCGGTTTGACCCCCACAGGAGTGTCACTGATACTCAGTGAGTCCGTCTGATCATTTTAATGCATCAATCATTCATCTTATTATCTTTTTGTCAGGATGTTTAACAGAAAAAATGAAGGTGAGTACAAAAGTATTTAAAAACTATGTAGGAGTTTCTCGCCATGTGGATCGATTTGATTTTTTGTGCCGAGCTTTTCACCAATGACAGTCTATAGTTGTGGTTCCTGAACATAAGGAATCCATTTTGTATAATTTATTAAACTCAGTGACATATTTTGTAGATATTCATATATTTAAACTGCAAAATGAACCCAAACTGAACTCAGTAACTGCAGGAAGTTTGTGTAAAATGAGAGATTTGGATGAATTTTGAGCAGATTATTTCCTGTTTAGGGAACTTTTTATACAATTATCTGTCTGTATTATGTAGTTTAATCATTTTTAACAATCATACGGACTTAATTGGCTTATTTTCTGACAAATTCAGTGTTTTCTTGTCCCTGACGCTTAGCCACTGTTCTATTAGACAATTTACTTTTACATTTCTTCACACATGTATAGGCCTACAGTGTATATTTCTAACGCTTTAAGTCTGTTTATACCAAGAGTTCGGGGAAAAAACAGCTGCCATAGGTCTGACTTTCGTTAATAATGCATGCAACTGTAATTAATGAGTGAATTTGTTATTTATTTGTTTTGATAATATGTATTATTTATATTTATTTTGGTGGAAGTTTGGGTTTGCGCCCAAAACTGCTTCCGTGGTTCGGGCTCAGTTCGAGGAGGAAGAAATTCTGCGAATGTATTTGCGACCCAAAGCCACATGTGACTTGTGTCAGTCAGTCTCTTTGATAAATTACAAATGGGTACAACATAGAAGAAAGAAACTAATTACTTCTGGTATCCATCCTATCGACGCTGGAATCAATCTTCAAAATGAGATGTTGTATTGAAAGTGTCAAGATTTTGAGCCCACCCCCAAGATGAGTGAGGAGGAACAAACGTTGAAAGGTTTGCAATAAAAACAGGTAATTTAATGAAAAATGGACAAATGCCAAAGCCCTTAGTTTGCCACCTCATAGCAATCCGGTGTCAGGTGTCTTATTCTGCCACGTCAAAGATCCTAATGTCATTTAATCTGATAAATATTAGTAATGTTTGTTTATTAACTTGCATTCGCTCTCCATCTACAGTCTGACTCTCAAAACCAAAACTATCTGCATGGCTTGATATGTTATTTCTTTGTCAGATCTGAATTTTGATGGATAATGACCGACAGGAGGGAGACGAACAACCCATGAAAATCTGGATAGTTAATACTTGTTTTCTAGTCCTGGAAACAACTGGAAATAAATTAAAATGCCCAATTATCCTGGAAATAATCTCTGTAGTCCTGCAACAACATTTTGATTGTATTTTAGCCCCTCAGTCAGATCGCCTACGTACACCTGGGTTAGAGAAAACCTGTAGTCATATCACACGAAAAACCCCCTACCTATAATGAACCTACGTCACAAAAAAGAGAACTAAAACTGGAGTTAAAAGTTTAAATAATTGACATACCGCTAAATTATATGACCATTTGTAAGCAACTGCTGTCCTGAATAATCAAGAAAACTCCTGGAAAAAACAGAGCAACTAAACCCCAGAACCTCTGATTGTAGCTAGAACCTTTGTATCCGGTAGTGTTGTTGATTTATTCAGGTCCGAATCTGGACATTTAATGCAAAGTATTTGAATTCTACATAGTTTTCTATAGATATGCACAGCGACCGCCCTCTACTGGTTGAAACCGACTACTGCAGTTGAATTTTACTATTGGCTGATCTGGAGGCAGATTTCATCGCCAACTAACCCCTGCTGCTATAAAACCAACGTCTCCACTCTGCAGACTGTGGCCTGACACTCAGAAAGTAAGCCTCTCTGAGCCGTTAGCTTAGCTAAGAGCAACCATGAATGTGCTTCTAGTGACTGTAAAAGCTCCAGTGGACTCTCCAGGCGGTTAGCTGTGTTAGCTCTGACCAGACTAGAATCCGTCACTCTGGTGATTGGTTCCATTATTTGTTTTCCTGTAACATGTCCTCATTAAACAGTGTATAAACTCTGGCTCTATGTTCTCTATGTAGTTGTGTTCTTACATTATCCCAAATGTTTCCAACAATGCTCAAACTGAAGGAATCCTAACCAGGAGAAGCTCACTGCAGTGACACCAATGGTGGGGAAGACAACAACTCCCATGATCCCACGCTGCTTCACGTCATCATCAAACTTCTTGTTATTGTTTTGTTGTGAGAGACCTCCAAAGCTGCTGACATTACATATTGTACGTTTAATCACTTCCTCTTAAATGGGTCTATAACAGATAAAATCAGATCCATTTATTTTATATTTAATTCAAGTTATTTTTACTCTGCTAAAGCCGCCACTTCTTCAGAGCAATGGCTGTTTATTTTTGGAATAAATTAAAGTGTAGTCTATTGTTCTGTTATAGATCTGTTTTCATGGGGGAATTATACTATTAAAACTCCACGTAAACACAACTAGTTTTCCAAGATTATCCAATATTCAAAGAGATGCTACACCAGTGCAACCAAGTCTATATTTGTGTTGTGGATGACAGATGTCATGTCGGTGCACGTGCCTGGAATGTGTATTTTCAACCGACAGATGGTTGAACTCTCCTGAAATCTGCTTCTTCGTCTCTGCGTGCAGACTCGTCGATGACACATCTGTCGGTGGCCTCGTCAGGCTGCCTCTCCACTCTCGTCTCGTCTAGGTGTATCCCAACATGGCCGCAGGACTCGCAGCCGGGCAAGAGGTGACACGACGGGCGTGGGCGTGCCGGTACGTATGTGAGACGACAGACTTTTTTTTTTTTTTAAAAGGTCATACGCAGACTGAAAATACGTGAAGCCCTCCGGGACTCGGCCTCCTGTCCCCAAGGACGAGGGCAGAGTTGAAGGGTTGAAAAGTTCATCCACCAGGGAGAAGAAAGGTGGGCGAGGCAGTCATGCAAAAATCTGACATGAAGACAGGAGGGGGGGGCAGGATTAGCTGGGGCTAAGGTGACAGAGGACAAATAATAGGCGGTACAAAAGTGAGTGTTTTACAGCGTAAACTGAGAGGTTTTATGTTTCCTTTGGGTCGAGTCGTCATTTCCAGCTGCTGATTTATTCGTTCTTAAAGGTCCAGTGTAAAAGACTGAGGAGGATTTACTGTCAGAAATTAAATAAAATATTCATAAGTATGTTTTCATTAGTGAATAATCACCTGAAAATGGGAATTGTTGTGTTTTTGTTGCCTTAGATCTGTCACTAGGCCTTCCAAGTTCTTTGTGGCCACCATAGTTTCTCCTACATGCTCGGAAGGCGAGCAGTATTCAGTTGGTTACCATCAGCAATTTCACTGCTAGATATCACTGAAATATCGAACACACTGGTCCTTTAATACAGTTGTTCCCAGCCTGGGGGTCCGGTACTCTCACTAGGGGTCGCCAAAGGCATGGAAGAAAAGTTATGGTCGTTGCCGTTTGTTGGAGCCAGCGGAGGTGACGTACTGCAAGTTGAGCTGCTCTCATTGGCTGCACAGTTTCAACTCAAAATGTTTACTGAGCTCATAAATCAACTGAGAAGTCGACTCATTTCTCTATAAGACTGAATGGTATTAGTTTTTATTGCAGCCAATGAAGCTGCCCCCTGCTGGTCGTTAGACAGAATGCAGGTTTAAGACACTTCACAGACCTGGAACCTCTGTCCTATATATATATATAAATATCATAAAATACAAAGAAATCGATTTTCTTTGTAAGTTGATTTAAATTAAACAATCTGACTGTGTATGTAAATGTTAAAGGGTTAAAAAAGGCCTTTTTGCTTTGATCTGGACTTTAAGAAAAGATGGCTGACAGTGGGTCTAATAGGAGGCTTATTAGGCTCTTTTATGTATCTCAATGTCAAATTCTGGTTTTCTCATCCAGTTTTAAACCTTAATCAGCTGAACCACGGCGCTCTGACCCAGACTGACACCGCGATGTGATCTGAGGTGACAGACTGAGAATTCCTCACATTGTTTTGGTTCATCGGAGGCCAAAACCGCTTTCAGGAAAAGCACCTCTCCGGCTTTCCAAGACAGGACAGAGGAGGACTCAACACTTCTGCTCCATCGTCTTCACCATTAATCAGCGTATAGGCAGCCGGCTCTGGACCGGCACCAGCACTTTAGGGCGTTTTTTCTTTTTTTTTTATATCAGCGCCATTCCAGGCAGATGGCGGCGTTAAGTGTGATTGGCAGGAGAAGTGGAAAGAAGCAGCGACGGAGCGAATACTGTTGCCAAGGAGCGCGTGGGGAAGAATGGGGGGGGGGGGGTGGCGGTAAGAGGGTACAGTGAACAGGAGGGGGGTTGTGGGGCGTGACCAGTCTTAATTATCCCAAAGGGTTGGCGAGCTGGTTTCTAGCCCCACTGAGGATGTTTTTGGTGGGTTTCTGATACCAAAAAATGTGAGTGACCAATGTGTTTGTTTGCCATCAGTAGTTCTGACGGCCATTCCCATGAAAGGTGGAACAACAGTAAAGAGGAAGTAGCCGGCGGTATCGGAGCATCTGAGTTTTAATCCTCGGTTTGAGATGAGTTTACCCCGATGCTGCTCTGCAAATCCCCGCTGGAATGCGCCCGCGTGCACTGAGATACGGATCGACTGACGTGGGCTGCAGAGAGGCCTCGCGGAGCAAAAGATGAACAAAAGCCAACCGCCTCCAGGTAGCAGTGTAACTGCCCCCTGAGAGGCACCAAAATGGCGGCTGGGTGTTGGGTTCATAGGGGCGAAGGCGGTGGCGGCGCCCCTCGCCCTCTCCTGCCTCTTCTATCTGAGTCACGCAATGGAGGAGGAGATAACCGACCATCGCAGGTGAGATCACCAACGCCGTTTTCAACCTGAAGTCAGGAGAAGCTCCCACAATGCTCTTTGTTTCCGCCAGCATCGACCACGCTACAGAGAAAAAACGCCGCTTCGATGCAAATCGCGTTTCCTCTCCGCCAGTCTGGGTTGTTGTTGTGGCGCTTCGAGGTAAAGAAAGTATTCATAATCCCCACATTGTTGGTTCGCCAGCCATAACAAACAAGCGACGAGCTGCGGCGCCGACGCCAGCCGAGCCCCGAAATGGTCACAGTTGTCTCAGACGAACGAGTGTTTGTCCTTATAAGTTCAGTGGAGGAGCGATGAAAGCTGGAGCTCACATCCAGCTCAGGCGGTCAGAAAACTGCATTCCCAACATTCCTCCTGCGTCCTGACAACCGAAGCCGCTGACAGACGGCGTCACTGAGGGCTGTAATTACTGCCAGTGCTCATGGGAAATATTATCATCGACAAACTACTTTCTCTGTCAACTGTGTGAGTGACGCGTATCTGAATGCCTCCACGAGCGTAATGCTGGGAAATTAATACGAAGGCATTTATCTGAATGTTGAACGTAAACACGATAAAAATATTCAGTAAGTTATTATAATGAGAAAGAAATATTTTTTTAATGACGATTAATTAGTTAAAGCTCCAGTGTGAAACATTTAAGAGGATCTATTGGCAGAAATATAATATAATATTCATAGATATGTGTTCATTCGTGTATAATCAACTGAAGATAATAATTAATTACGAGCTGTTTTTAATTACAGGGAGCGGGTTCTCTTCTAATGGCCACCATGTTGAACCACCATGTTTTCTACAGTAGCCCAGAAGGGGCAAACCAAACACTGGCTGTAGATGGGGCCTGTTTGATTTTGGCCGCCACAGTTTCCTCCTTCACATGTGCAAGCGGAGGGTGAAGTGAGGAACCTATAAAAAGTCAAATAAATCTAAATTTTAGGCCTTAAAATGTGTTATAGGTCCAGTGTAGGATTTAGTTGCACCAAGAGGTGAAGGTGCAGAAGAACGAGAACACTCCCGATATACAGCCTGTATATCAAACATGGCGGACTCCACCACTAGAGGAGAACCCGCTGCCTCTGAAGATAAAGACAGCTCATTCTGAGGTAACAAAAACACAACTATTCTTATTTTCAGGTGATCATTAACGTCCATTCGGCGTTATTGAACATATCAAATATAAACTCAGGAATTGTGGGAAACAATTAAACGTCAGTATTAAACATTGAATGAATAAAACAAATTTAAGGATATCATTTATTTATTTAAATCACACACAAAACTCACCTGTATTCAGATTTTGGAGAATTTTGTGATTTTTTTTTTTTATGTAACTGCAAATAAAATAATTCAGAATTATTTCTAATAATTTGGCTGCACAGGAAACTTTTCAGGTTGAGTTTGTTCATAATCATATTTTCCTGTGAAAAGTGTTTCTAATCCACTTTAGCATTAAGTGGCTGTCAGAGGAGGAAGTGTGTGTTTCTGTGTGTCTGTGCATGTGTGTGTGTGTGTGTGTGTGTTTCTGTGTGTGTTGAACATGTATGTGTCAGGTATGTATGTGTGCAGGTGAGTGCGGCAGTCATCCCCTTCCTCAGGGCGTCTGTCAGAGTGACTGACAGTTAAAGCGGAGGGCAGGGAGGACAGACAATACAGAGTAATGAGAGATGTGGTAAACAGGCTCGGGCCGCGCCTCCGTCGTCACCCGCGGCCGCCGCCATGGCCACCGCACGGCTAACGTGACATGTCTGCTTCACGCCGCAGCGCTTTGTTTACGCGTCAACCTGTCAAACCGGGAGAGGCTTCTGAAGTGGAAAGAGGCTCTCATTAATACTAACTGATGATTAATATTTCCAACGTGCGGCTGAGTGATTCACGTGGCGGCGGAGGCTCGGTGCGCCTCCTCGATTAGCTCCCAGCGTTTATCAACAATTATCAAGACCCCGACGTAATCTTTCCTACGTCATAATCCTTCAGGCAATTAAAGTTTTAACCATTTAGAAACATTTTAACATTCAGCATCTGAGTGTTTATCCTCCTGAATCTATGAACCACTAATTAATTATCTAAATAGGATCCATCCACAGTTTATATCAGTAAAATCCTAAACACCATAAAAATACTATACATAAAACTTTTAATAAAGGCAGAGTCCCAAATAGATGCATCTCCTTTATTAGCCCAGTGTGGCTACATGTTCTGCCAAATAAAAGCAGGTCTCCAATAGAGGCCTGGTCTGGATTTTATAGAAATTATCTGGATTTATAAAACTTCTTAAAGCTGCAAAAGTATGATCATTCATCATTACATCATCAGTGAGATTCTCCACAATTCAATTGTTTAGTGCTCGTGGAAGTATAAATATCCATTATTTATATTCCTTTAGTCCGTAACGGTCCACAGATCTAAAGAATCAAAGGTTTTAATTAAAATTAATCCGAGTTGTGAATATTATCATATTATGGCCGTTGCTCGCCGTCTTTACGCTCTGTGCTGTAAAACAACGTTCACGATCAAGTGTCATGGTCTGTCACGGCTCAGAGAACAAAGTACGACCTGAAAATCAAACTGTTAGAAACACAATTATAGAATATTATTGAGAGTTTACTGCTAAAGGAATTAAAGGCCTGTCCCTGATAAAGGCAGCGTGAGTTCAGTGATTGAAGCAAATAGATGCACATCAATAAGTATATTCGTAAGAGGAATTGCTCCGTAGCGTCCGTTCAGTGTTTCAACTCGACAGATGAGATTAGGTATTTATATATATACAGTATTTTGGGCGGAGAGTCAGTTTAACCACTTATCCTCACAGCTTGACAACATGACAGTAACACGAAGAACTGGTTCTTTTCACTTTAACACCACTAAAGAGACGATTTCTGCCTCCAACTGTATCACACCTCCGTGGATCGGTGTGTGTGTGTGTGTGTGTGTGTGTGTGTGTTCGGGACGCGTACTCTAATTGACCGACTGACTGACTGGCTGTTATTTGACGGGTTAGGACCTGCTGTGCAAATCACTCAGGGCTGCCTAATCATGCATTGTGTGTGCCCGTGAAGGAATGCCAAACTTCAGCTCGCGGTCAGGGGAGTCACCGCCGGGGCCTCGTGGATTCAAGCAGGGACAGGCCGTCGCCGCCCCCCACAACCACCTTCCCACCGGGGTCAGCGTTAGGACGACGTGAGCCGCCGCGTACGCCGTCGCCACTGACATTGTGTCTGTTTACGTGATGCTTGACTGAAATCACCAGCGTACTGAGAGGTTAAAGCGGTGGAGCCGGGAACTGTCGCTCTGCAGGGTTACGGGTTTGATTCCCGCTGAGAAAGACCACCCACGTTCCTCAGGTTGCATCTAACCGTGGCGTCCTGCTGTTGGATCCACAGACTTCATTTAAAGTGGTGGTTCCTGTTTCGCTCTACTTTAATCTGCAAAGAAACCAGCATCGGGTTAGTTAGTCAAAAATATAATATATTACTCATTACTCTTTTAAGAAGTTATATTATTACTTTACTGATTTCTCCCTGCCAACAGTAATTAGTTACACTTATATTACATTTCTGCTACTGAGACAACAAAAATAATGTACCTAATTATTTTTTCTGGAGGTAACTGTAATATTTCTACTGAAATATATAAGTTATTAGTTATTATATTACTGCTAATAATGATTTACTGCCCAGTAACAGAAAAACAATCAGGCTTGGGGAGTAATGGATTACATGTAACAGAGTCAGGATACAAAAAAAAAAGGTAATTTGGGTAACGTAGAGTCTCAGATCGAGCGCGGGCATTGTGCACTTAGCACCAATACTAGCTTAAATTTAACTGGATTTATTCACGATACTCATCAAACACTTTTTATCGCCTGTGTGTGTCCCTGTTTCATTACACCGTCTACGCTGACATCTTGTGGAAAATCTACCGGTATGTTTTCCCGCCAAGCAGTGAAAAAGGCGCCGCTGAGCGTCCAACTTTCCAACTCTCAATCTTTTGCCCGTTATGAGCGAACCATCCAGGTCGTGGTACATTCTGCCACACTGACAATGCGAACCCACTTATGTACTCAAAATAGTTAGCGCGAGTATGGAAGGATTCGAATTGAGACACAGCGTTGGAATTTGGCATTGCTTATCCTACGTATAAAAATGTTTTATACGCTTCCCGTACGTCGCTGTGCTTGAATACGTCGTCTTTTTCTACAACGACGGCTCGTCACGTTGGAAACTTTCTATTCAAACAGTCTGAATGAGTTTATTTGCTCACAGGAATTACTTTTACATACCTTTAACCTCATTATTTAACACTCTGGCCTCGTCTATTGTCAACATCCGACACTGTAACATTATAAATACGACAGAAACTAATAAAGAGTTCCCTTTAAAGCAACAATTTGTAACTTTTCCACCTTATAATAACAGTTAATTTCCATTCTGCCCCCCGTACGCCTCTTCTTGCACTACAGGATGTAACTTTGTTCAAACTGGATCAGATTTTATGGAGAATTTTTTCTTGGTTGTTGCTCAGATATTATTGTAGACAGGTGTGTGTCTGCCTTTCCAAATCATATCCAGTCAATTGAATTTACCGCACAGGTCGACTCCGGTCAGTGAACAGAGAGAAAGGAGGAACCTGAGTAAGATACTTCAGGTTTGTCTTTTTGTCTGCAGTCCTGTTGACTCATTATGTAAATGTGATGAGCAAATAAATAATTGGATGTGGATGAAAATGTCCTGAAAACAAAAACAGCTGCAGAGATGAAAAGGCAAAATGTTGCTGCTCACCTGAAGGACAAAGCTCCACAAACTGAAGAGCAGGTTAGGAACCTCAGTGTTTTACTCCGAACCAGTTTTATAACCTTAAGAACAGCTAGAGTTAGGAATCTTATGGAAGAAATAGACTTAGAAAAACTGATTCAAGCTTTTATCACGAGCAAAATGTACTATTTTAGCGGATCTCTGACAAAAAGAGTTCTGACTAAAACTAAAAGTACAGTATAAATAAAGTTGTACTACTTGTTTTTATATATATATATATAATCTATTTTTAAAAAGATATTCATTAAAACATTAGCTGAATGTGTCTGCGTGTGCAACTCTCACATTATAACTCACTCACTCTAACATTATGTGACGTGATGGTTTTAACTTTTTGATTTTTCGAAGTCAAAAACTTTCTTCTCTCATGTTGAACTGGTCATTTCTGGCGGCTGCAGCACATTAAAAACTGATTAAAACATCAAAATTAACCAACCAAAGCTCACTGTAATAACCTCACTGTGATTTATTTAGGCAGCGCAAATCTTGCTTTTCTTACTTTAAAGTGTCTTATATATTACAAAGGTGAAAGTGTATCAAAAAACATAACATAAAACATAAAAAAAAAAAAAAAAAAAAAAAATACACCACTTTACATACAATAAAGTATGTAAACAATATAACTGAGGACTTTTAAATAGAGAAAGAGTTAATGAATTATTTTACGTCATATTTCTTTCCTGAATGAGGTTGATTGAATGTCTTCAAGGTGTTTTATCCGTCACAACTGAAAACAATATCTCTGACATTTCTGCCTCTCTGGAAGCACAAACGAGAGGACAACAGATGATTTAAACTCATATGTTCCAGTGTTTGTTGATAATCTGAATCTAGAAACTGTACAATATTCAGACCCAAAGATGGATTATTGATCTGAAATCTGTTACACCGAGTCATCAACTGGATGAAAAAATCACAGAGATACATAAATAATCTGGATAATCTGAGTTATTCACAAGGTGCTTTGGCCTTTCTGTCGTTGATTACAGCAGTGGTTCCCAACCTGTGGGTCGGGACCCCACCGGGGCTCGTCAAAGCTTCGCTTCTTGATTTTAAAGGTTGTGAAGAAAACGTAATATACGCCGTCGGTCTGCAGTGTTTAGTTTATTTAATAAAGTTATGATTGTTAGATTATTATTCAAGATCTAAAAACAAGTGTATGTATAAATATATACACAAATTATAACACTTAGTACTTAATTATAAGACAATGTTAAAGTTAAAAAGAACCAAAGAGTTAATACAACAATGGACAGTTGTTAGAAATACATAATACAGACAGAAAATTATATAAAAAGTTCCTTAAAATATCCAGAAAACTCATCCAAATCTCTAGTTTTACTCTAAATGTTTGTTATTGTTATGGATTGAACATAATATAAAAGATCAATAAATAAAGTCAGTTTACTCAGTAATAGAAAAGGGTTGGGAACCAGTGGATTACAGGATGTTTGTGTGTTGTCTAAAGATAAAAACTGGCTCTACAGGAAGAATGAACTGTGTTGGGAATCAACATGAGAACGTTGCCCTTTGAAAACTTTTGGCCACAAACATCCTGAAAACAAAAACCTTTAAACAGCTTTGGTTCCTTGTGGACGCAGCGACCTCTGCTGGCAGCCGGCGGGAGGTTTAACTGGCTCACTCTTAACATTATATAGAAATATATACACAAATTCGAACACTTATAAGACAATATTTTATGTTTTAAACACATTATTTATAGCCATTAGCCGTACAGAAACCCCCAATATGTGTGATTGTGTAAAAAGTATGAATGATATGAAAAAGCTGAATTAATGTAAGAAAGTCCTGTTTGTTGTGAACGTTTTAAAGTTTGAATGGAGTTTCTGTGTGAACGTATGAATGCGTGGGAAGAGGACGAAGACGAGCGGCTCTGAAGGGTTTACTCTTTGTAATTCTGATTAAAGAAAAGTTGAATGTTTTGAAAAGGTTGAATAGAAGTGAAGTTGAATATCTGAGAGAGTTTTAATGGAGTTTCTGGCTGAAAGTATGAATGAGTTAAGAGTTAATTCATGAAAAACTGTATTGTGTTATACACATTTTATTATATTTTACTAATCAGGATGAATAATCAGGTTTATTGACAAGTAGGTTTTTACTTTGATAAAAACAATTAAACACAGAACAATATAAATAAAGATTACTCTTACAGGAGGAAGATTGAGAGAAACATTCAGAAATATATGCTGATTTAATCGTCAAGAAAATAACAGAAATTTGCTTTGAAAAGTCTCCAAATGAAGATATTTGAAGTCAATAACATTGTTGTGTCACATGAATATAAATATCTAAAAGGTAGAAATCAATAAATTGTTTTATTTCTGAGTCATTTTTGTCTATTTTCTTCTTTTCTTGCTCTTATTTTTCATAGTTTTCTCATTCTGCCTCCAGTGTTTCCTCACCACAGCTTAACAACACAAATAATCTGACTGATTGATTTTTATTGAACTTGAGTCTCTTACTTAGTCTAGTGTTCCTCAGATGGGAGTACGTCAAGGTTACTTTATTTGTACCTAGAGGTAGATTTGGTTTGTTGTAAAAGACAAAAGTATAAATACAACAAACAACTCAGACAAACATGATAAAGATAAAAGATGAAAGTGATCCAGACTCTAAAACTCAAAAAAAAAAAAAAAAAAAAAAAAAAAAAAAAAAAAAAAAAAAAAAAAAAAAATTTTTTTTTTTTTTTTAAATTTTTTTAAAAAAATTTTTTTTTTTTAAAAAAAAAAAATTTTTTTTTTTTTTTTTATATTTTTTTTTTTATTTTTTTTTTTTTTATTATTTTTAAAATTTAAAAAAATCTTTAAGGAGGGTTTCTTTTTTCGGGAGCCCAGAAGGGACAAACCAAACACTGACTCTATAGTTGTGTTCAGTTAGATGCAATCTGCCACTTCACCACTAGATGTCACTAAATCCTGCACACTGGTCCTTTAAGTGTTTTAAATAAGATTAAATAAGTATTAAACCTCTTTTTAATCAACCAACAATGTTTGTCAGCAGCTGAAAAAATACTTCAAAAGGGAAATATTCATTGGCTGATGAGTGTTCATTATCAGGAATTAATAGACGACGTGGAGGCAACTTCAGACTGCGTCCTATATTGATTAATATATTGTACCAGAGTACTCCTGATGGTAGAATCAGACACTATGAACCCAAATAAAGGCCCAGTCATACAAAGAAATTACAAAATAAAAGACTGTAAAATCTTAAAAACGACCATTTATAAATATGGAGGAAAAAAAGGGAACTTTTATCCATTTTAACATGAAACAGGTTTTTTTTTTAACTTATAATCCAAACTGGTTCTGTTCAATATTTCATGTCAAAGTGGCGGCTGTGAAAAAGTTCTGTTGGTTTAAAGTTAAAACCGAACAAATGAGTCAGGTTCCAGTCGGTCTTGGAGGATTTTCAGTGTGAAAAAGGACTCGGGTGTGTTAGCTTTGTCCTGAACCGACCCTGAAGCCTGCATGGACCCGCCGCCTCTGAGCGTATCAGACGTTTTGGCGCCGTCACTCATTCATCCATGCAGACTTCACAGAACGGCCCCGATAGCGTCCGGGTCCCTCCCCCCCGCCATCCAGCATCACGCCAGTATTTTCATGTCCTCCAGGAACTCGTAACTATGCTGGCCGGTAATGACACAATAAACAGCTGACCATGGATCAGTCCACAATGTAAACAGTTAATAAACTTTCCTTTAGTGTCGATGTAATCTTTAATATAAACAGGTGAGTTGTATATAGATTCACCTCCCGTACTGTTGTCATGAACGGGGAAATTACCTGTAGAGAGCGAAACATGTTTATTTCTGCTGTAAAGACATTTTAATATGGAGGCTTATGGAGACTCACTGCTGGAGCCAGCCTCTAGTGGCCGTTAGAGGAACGGCAGCTTTTATTTATTTATGTGTCGGCTTCATTTGCGAACCGCAAGAGGTTGCAAAGCTCTTATCAATAAATACAGAAAGTCTGTATGTCACAATAAGATGTATTATTTTAGTGTTGCTGTGGGACGAGAATAATTTGTGTAGTTATTAATCCTCCCGACCACCAGCAGCGAGTAATGCCTGTAAACTACACTTATTGTGAGGAGGATTTAACAGACTCACATGGATGCTACAGTAGTTAGTGAATTAATAATAATTATAAAATAACTTCATGTTTTAAAGAGTCCAAAGAAAGAAATTCATAAGCCAGTAACCCCCTTTTACCGGGGGAGGGGGAAAACCCGTATAGAAACGTAAATATAACAACATTCAGCCGCCCTATTAGTGAGGTCAAGATCTGTAAAAATCACCTGTAACTCAATAAATTAATTCTGAAGAGATGTTCATGAAGTTTGGTTTGTTATAAACGTTTAAATTGAACCTGATCTGTTCTAGAAATCTACATTTATAGAGAAACTGACAAAAGCTGAAGTTATAAACAAACTGTTGATGTCTGTTAATAAATCAGAAGTGTCCCAGTGGAAGTTTTGGTAATTCAGAAGGTACATTTTTAGGCATCGAGCTGATAGCTAAACCTCAGTAAACTCAGTTTATCCACCAGTTATTTTCTGATCAGCTGTATGGATCAATAATCTGTACACTGTAAAACCAACACAACACATCCTAATAAAAGAAATAATCCCCCAAACAAACTCACATAAATTAAATTAATTAGCTGCTTTTACGAGTAATTTTAAGTGACACTAACTTCGTTTTGTAGGTTACAGAAACATTCCTGATTAAGTAGTTTTTAAATATTTTGTTTTCACAATACAAATAAAAAACTATTTGATCAAGAATATTATTTTTAACTCACAAAATTTTGTTAGTTTTACTTAAAAATGTTGATGTAATCAGTCTCAGAGTTAAATGAACGTATATAGTTATAAAAATGTAAGAATTATAATCCTGTAGAGCAATTTTTGTTTTTCTTTTACTTTATTAATCATCATAATCCCATTATACATCCAAATAATTATTAACGAGTGTAAAGATTTAATGTTAGTCACCTAGAAAACCCACGGAAAGTTAATTGGTGATAACATCTCGATAAACAATTAA